TTGGGGTGGGCTAGCTTTAGAAAGAAGCATAGGTTAGCACTGTGGAGGTGGAAACCTGGGTTTTATTTCAGTTAGCTCAACTGCTGAGCCACCATAAATATCTTCCTCTGGAAGCCTCATTCCCTTCACATTAACTATGATTTCAGTGAAACAGCTTCCACTTGTACACCACGAGGGTCTGACCTGGAAGTTTTACATAGTCCATTTTTTGTTTGTAAATTTATTTACCTTTCCATGTCAAACTCAAAGTGGCCACTGATGTGCACAGAAATATCCACCATTTTATAAACGATCCAAAAAATACCAGAAGTAACTTGAACATGTTTTTCAGGGAACAGTTAGAATAGTTTGTGTTGGAAGGGACCTTTGAAGGTCATCTAGTCCAACACCCCTGAGATGAGCAGGTACATCTTCAACCAGATCATGAGAGAAACATGACACCCAGATCTTAACCATGCCCTATTATCACGATGTAAATATATAGGTATGGAGTTTATATTTGTAATAACCTATTTAAAAAAAAATAGTTAAAGTAATGTAAGCATTTCAGGTAAAGATGGCTTAAAAAATTTACAGAAGACATTTTATGGTTTTTGTTCTTTTTTTTTTTTTTTCTTTTCCCAGATGTCTCTTCTTCCAAAATTCAACACTTCAAAGGATCCCAGAATTTGGAAATCACTAACTTATAAAACAAACTAGTGCTGATGACCATGGTTTCACTGACTTGACAGAGATCTGAGAAAGAAATAAAGGTAAGGCAAGTTTCTCAGATGACATCTCCTGGTCCAACTCAAAATCTATCCCTCCTCACCCATGGAAAAACTGTGCCATAACCAGGAGAACCTCCCTACCCTCTGTGAGAACCAGGAGAAACTCCCTACCCTCTTCTCCAGAAATCCACAGCGTGCATCTTGCTGGGGTAGTGGGGGTGGTAATTCTTCTAGCTGCTGTTTTCCCATCAAGGACGGTCAAAATCTCAGATATTTCTATGATATTCAATATCCGTAGCATTAATTGGTAGATTTCGGAGGGGAGGGGGAAGTTATCAATTATTCATACTTATTTTCTTTTTTTTTTATACTCATTTATTCTTTCCTGGAAGAAATCAGAGATAATCTGAAGCAAGTGAGTTTAATGCTTGAGTCAGAAAGTCAGAGTGAAACCTATACTGCATTTCTGTTCTGCTTATGCTAAGGTAGGTGATACTTGTCTCAGCCCTGTATAGAAGTAAGCTTTATATTATGAAAGAAACATTATCTTAATGTATTGTCAAGCAAGGGAAACTCTAACCCTGAATTACTTAAACCCCACCATCTTAGTCATAGTACTGGCATGACTTATAAAATGCCCTCACTGAGTCTTCTTTCATTTCCCTAATGCATCTTGATAACCTTCAGCTACTGCTGATTATTTCAGAGAAAGCAAGGAACTATCTTTTGTATTTTAGAATAGTTATTATTCTTTGTATTATTTTTTATTATTATTTGTAGTTTCCAAATATTTACAAAACTGACAGCTCTCCCTTCATATTCCTTCAAAGCAAGGCATAGATAAAATCAATAATATTTACTATATAATTTTAATTTCATAAACTTTGACATTATATTTTTTATATAATTTAATTCAATGCACATGAAAGGTCTTAAACTTTAGAGACATTTTACTATTAATAGGCAGAAGTGTTCTGATATATAACTATGGCTCAGGACACTTCAGATGACTTCTGGTCATTGGTACTCTGAAAGAAGTCAGAGGCTTCTGGTCCCAGTGCCCAGGAGAACCTGAAGAGAGCGTCTGACTCAGAGACTGGAAATACTGATACCAGCAGGAGTGGCAGGAAAATGCCTTGCAGCACAGGCTGCATAAATCTTTCTTCAAGGGAAAGATTTCCCATAAGGCCTACTGAAAGCAGATAAATTTACACGTAAAAAATTTTGAATGTTTTAGGCCTTAAATTTACTCAGCAGACAGTCCCAGTGTCCCAAACATTAGGCTATAAATTATAGCAAAAAACTGAGGGCAAGGTAAAATTGAACATGAATAAAGATGCTCAACCATTAGAAATTCAGTGATTTCATAAAAAATCAAAGCAGGCATAGGAAAGCACAGAAGTGGGTCTTGCTGGGGATGAACTGGGAAGAGGCATCCAGATTCTCTCTCTCCTTATATGAGACGTAGACATGAATTATCTTCTTATGATCTTATGATTGAACATTTGATTCAGGAACATATCTAGCACATGCATGGTCATGAGCACATGCCATCATCTCATAGTTTTTTCAAAATTTAAACCTGAAGCTGAAGGATTTTAATTAATAAAACTGGAATTAGCCACTTGCTGGAAAGTTCATTTTTGGAACCTGGTCAGTGATATTCAGTCCTTGTAAAAGACAGACCTGACAAACCAATCATTTGGGCAGCAAATCTTACATCGTGTTCTAGTGAGGGTAACACAAATATGATTTCCATAAGCAAAATGAATGTAGCTCCATAAATCAGTGTAGAAGTCCTTACAATATGCAGAAGGCTACTAAACTTTGTGACACTTAACTGAACATTGAGTAGAAGAGATTTCGGATGTGATCCTTTCTTAATATAAACTCCTACATTGACTACATGAGCTGGGAGCGTGGCTAGATACCAAAAGCATTCTGAAAAGCTCTTTTTCCATGGATGCATTTGCTGATCAAAATTTAATCGTGCAACTATTAGAAGATTCCAGTTTTGTGTCATGGGTATACTGAAGAATTTTCCAGTGGTTAATGCTATGAAATGGGCCCATACTCACCTACATTTCCTATTTCAAATGTTGAGACCATTCTAGTGGATTTTTTTTTTTTTGTTATTTTGAAGAAATTCTATACAGAAAAAAAAAAAATCTGGATATACACTTCTGGCATAATTCTGCTCCACAGTATCATGCTGAAGAGACACAGGCTTTCTCTGTTCAGTTCAGAGGAAGTTCGATTTATTTAGTTAGCTGTTCTTCCAGTTTACTCAAGTGTAATGCTGCATGTGTGAATTTTCACACCAGACTACACTTGGAACTCCACAGGTCAGATATAATTTTTAATTACATTACAGGTAAATGACTGAGTTCAGAGACTCTTTTAGAGGGATTACAGTCTGTTTCCAAGGATAGGAACAGATGTAATTCTAGGAATGAACTACACTGGCTCACATCCCTTCTGAATCCACTGAATTCAGTGTGATCACAGGGGTCAGAAGTAATGCAAAATTCGGCCTATGACTTTGGCTATTTCGGTACAACTTTCTGTTGTGTCCTCTACATAGTTAATTGTCAGACTTCAGAGAAAATTTTGTCCCATTCACTGTAAAATAGAAAGGTCCATGGAGGAAAACTGGTGCATTAGAGAAACACACAAAGGACATTAAGGCTATCTAGTTTGATGTTTTCAAACCTTTTTCTTTTCCTCTGCAAACAATGACAATTTCAATAGGATCTGAAGCGGTACTCTTAACAAATAATACACTAGTCTGACATATGGTTAATATTAATGTCTCTCTATTCAAACATGCTGAAAACTGAATAGAACAGTTAACATATAACAGTCACACATCCTTTGCTGAATACAAGATCGCATCTCTAACATGAACTGAAGATATCCTCACCACTTTAAGATCTATCATTCAAACATTTCATTCTCCTAAATACATTGCTCTTCCCCTCTTTCTGGGTCTTTCAGGAGTGCTGAGTGAACACATTCTCTCCATAAAGGCATTGCTTATGATATGGTTCTTTTTTCAACAGAAATTTTGCTGTGTATTTACAATATGTTGCCAAAGGTGAATTTGCAGAGTTTGGTAGGATTTGGGGGTGAGAAGGCCTGACATCTGGATTGAAAAGATTTAATTTTGAAATACCTATCTGGGCAGGATTCTGCACTTTATTGCAGAGAGACCATCTCTTGATGAAATTAATTACTAAGTGTGAACAATTAATTAACTGTGATCACACTTTACAGATTATTGAATCAGAGCTTTATATAGTAGCCAGTTTTTATATTACAGGTATATTCACAGGGCTTATGGGCAGAGGCAACCTCACTTTGCTCATGTCCTGAGATGGTGGGATATTGACAGAAAAGTCATTCGTAGGGATGTGAAGCTGAACCCAACAAAACCACCTGTTTTCTCACAAGGTTTATTTGGTGTGGGCTCGGGGCCATACCCAGCACAGTTAGCTCAGCTCATACATGGTGAGTGCCCAGCCACAGAAACCTGTCAGGGTGAGACCACTCCTCATGGTTATCGCACATTACTGCTACAGCAAAAGCCCTGTGTCTTTGAAGAATGCATTCCAAACAAGGCATGCTCCATCCTGGGGCATAAAGCATAGTTTGCCCTCAAATATATTTTTATTGAAAATACACAGCAAAAATTACAGCATAGAAAGTTCTGTATACAAGACAATTTTATCAACTTTATCTTAAAAAAACAAGCCAAAACTAAAAACAAAAAGGCAAAAGAAACCCAAAATAAGACTTGGTGAATGAAGACTGTGAATAGCAATTTTTTTTACTGCCATAACAAAAAAAAAATGACATACACCTTCAGCATTTCTTTTGCAAATTTACTTGACAGAGGTTAAAATATTGCTTTATTCTGACTCAACATACAACAGCACTGCATGATTGATTGTGCTATTTTGGGAAGTCTTGAGACTTGTGAACTGGAAAGTCTGGGCCACATATAAATTTAACAATTAATTTGCTGCAAAGGAGTATTTTATTACATTCTGTATATACTGTAGTTTGTTTTTTAATCAATTTTCTGACATTAACAGAAGGCTATTTAGCAATTATTTATTATAGCTGATTTTACTTTTCCCCATGAATAAGGAGATATTTTAACACTAATAAAAACAGTAATGTGTATGCCAAAGAATCCAATTCCTTGTATTATTGGCATATTGTGTTACAATTTATGGGGGGGAGAGACTTTATGGGACTCAACAGAAAGAGAGAATTTATGGGACTCAACAGAAAGTAAATGCAAAAAAACGCTTATAATGTGATTGGGATATGGCAACGAGGAAATTACATTTCTTCTCCAAGGCCTTGATTCCCTGCAGGGAGTGATTTGGTGGAAACCATCTGCTCTTATATAGCTCAATTACAATCATATCTGTGCATGCTTGTGGGTCTGCCCATACAGAACCATCTGCAGGGTTGAAGCTTTAAAGTTCACAAGCCTAAGCCATGATTAATTGAAACGACTGAAGAACTGAAAGTGGGAACAAATTAGGGCAGTGTGGACACTTATCAGCTGGATTTTGATCATACTGAATCTTTCTGACTCTTCTCCGAACAGCCCATAATAAAAAATGAGTTAAAAAATACACACACACTCAGAAGTGCTCCTTGAGAGCTTACAAATGCCTTCAAAGTATACCAGTTTAGAAATGTTGAGGGGTTATTAATGAACAACAAAATTTATGTTCCCACTCAAAAAAAACCCCAAATCAAATCCAAACCTGCCATAATAAATGCTTTTGGACTTTTTGTTTTTCCTCACTCTCCACTAATGCTGCTCTGATAGTCAAAGCTCAGAAAATGGAGCACCTGCAGGTTCCCAACCACTGAATCTCTACCCTATAGTATATATCATACCAATACAGACCCCAATCCCACTCCACACTTGGCTGAAGACAAAGATCCTAAATGTTTCCATTGACTTTCTTGGGCTTAGTGACACATTAAAGTAAGGTTGAAGGTTAAGTGTCTGCCTCAATTTAGGGATTTATTCTCATTCCACAGTAGGTACCAAACCTCAGAAGTAGACGTCTGCGTGCCATGGTGTGAACCTGGAACCAAGAGGAGAGGGGGAGAGGGTACTGGGTCTCTGGTGGGGTCGTAGGACTTGCTCTGCACGGTCTGAGTCCCTGGGAAGCAGCTGACTGCAGCGCTGCCCTGAAACCAGAAATGAATCTAAGACTGGTCTTGGCCTTTACTGAAAAAAAAAAGATGCATAGCCTAAGACTTTGGACAGCTAAAGAGGACCATGGTAAAATGCTCTGTAACCGAAACTTTATGTGTAATCCTGCCTAGAAAGCACCTGATGCATACGCCATCCCTCCTGGAACTTTTCCCTTAAAAAAATATTTTGTTAAAAAACACTATGATATGAGGGCGATTGACTATTTGGTTTCTTCTAAGTAGATGCTCTTAAATTAATGCATATAAATAATTTGTACTTAATTTCCTCCCTTCCTGTTTAACAAAGCATCAAATGCACAGATCTCGTTTCCCCTCCCAAAATCCCTACACAAAGTCACTTGGTCAATACCGAGTCTCTTTGCGTTTCACTTTTTAAGACAAATTGTGCCTCTTGCTCTGACTTGGCCACGGGGCTCATGGGCAGAAAGGCTGTGTTTTCACTCGTGCTGTTCTCTGCTTCTACTCTCGCCAGTTCATAGTCCTCCGACCGCCTTGCATCCGTCAGAATTCGAATCTGCTCCTGCACAGTTTCTAGCAATATTTTCACTTCGTGTTGTTCTGCTATAAGACAATTACTGACTGGGGAACTCACATGGACAAGTTCAGCTGAATAGGAGTTTTTGCACCACTTGATGCCTGTTACTTCAGAAACATTTTGCATTTGCATGCAGGCTTCGTCCAAGCCCACAGACGGGATGATGGGAACAGAGTTGGCCCTTGAAGATGAATAGCCGACCAAGTCCTTCTGATCCATGTTATTAAAATAAGGGGTTGTCTCTCTTGAAGGCAGTTGCATATTTATTGGAGTATTCTGAGGAGTTTTTAAACCACTGGATGAATACCTGGAAAGAGTAAAAAGAAGGGTTTGTTGTACATCAAATGGTCAGATGCAACAAGCAGCAGGGAAACTCTAAGATTCAGTGAACTGTGCTGAAAAGCTACATGTCATTTTTTTCTCACACTAGGAACGCTTGGTAGTAGTATGGCCCTGGGGAAAACTACAGACTCCGGAGACCTGGCTTTGATTCTCAGATCTGCTGGTGGCAAGCCATTGCCTTCCTCCCAGTCTCATTTTGCCCACCAGTATATGAGAAAAAAAAGATGATTCCTTTTTAAAAGATTTCAGAAGTTGTACTGTATTATTATTTTTCTTTGACATTATATTTGAAATTCCACTCCTATGCTCCTACCTGGGGAAATGGATTGATGCTTTCTTTGCTTTCATTGATGAGTTCGGAACTCTCAACGTCAAATTCTTACTTTAGCAGAACACTTTGAAAAGGTGCAGGAAAAAAATAACTTTAAACAAAACATGTCTGTGTAGTCTTTACGTATATAGAAATGATTGTATGTGCTCCCCTTCAAACAAGCAGAGCATCTAAGTGCAGCGTACCTCTAAAAACATGTCTTTTTGTCAACAGCCCATACTCCTAATGATGGCCTGATTTCTTTTCTTGGATCTCATCTGGAAATAGAGCCAATACACTTGGCTTGAGCAAATGTCTGTGTTTGCCTGATATTGTAATCCTGTGCTTCAAAAAAAAAATAAAATCTTTATCCTCCATTAATAAATATCATAGCATGATTTTTTATTTATTATGAGCAACTTACGTGAATTTTTATCAACATTTCCGATTTGTTTCAAAGTCAAATTCATTACTCTGATCAGAAAGAGTTTTACACGATATACTTAAAAACCAGAAGTGGAAAGTATACTAAATATAAAACAAAGGAAACAATGACAAAAAAAAAAAAAAAAAAAAATTCCCATCTGAGAAGCAGCATTACAAGAAATATGGTGCTTTAAGAGTTAGTCATGATTGCCAGGGACCACAGACATCACCTCAGTACCGGAACATATTTTATTTATAATGAGCTTTGTGATCATATCAGTACTTAATAAGGCAAGCTACCGGTGAAGTCTAGTAAGTTTTGTCCATGGATGAGGAAGCAACATTTAGATCTCATGTGGAAGCAGGTGCTTCGAGCTATGACTTGAAGGGTATTTTTCTGAAAGATGCTTAAGCCTGCTGGACTTCACTAGGGATATCCTCCTATTCATCTGTGCCTTGCTGCTTTTTGGCATTAGCAGAAAAAGAACTAAGGAAGAGAAAGTGAATGGCATGTAACAGCCATAGTCCAATATTAGCTCACAACACTAATTAACTGGAAAGGCTTCCTTTGGCCTTATCCTCCTGGCAGGCTGTCAGACAGGAGAGAGGAGGAGATATCTTTAGGCTCATTTCCAGCAGAGCACCACTGACTTGTTATTAACTCATCTATAGTGGCACTGTGTTTGTACAACTGTTTGACACATTAACCTGTACAAGTACATGCATGCAGTTCTGTACAGCCCCTATATGAAAACTCGCCAGGTGTCCCCAGAAGACCAGAAAATGCAGCTGGGAGTGCTGCAGAAAGGAAGAGGTGGTGTGCTTTTTGCTGCTATCTGATGGACATACTGCTTTGGGATGTGAAACCCAGGGGAATAATATAGCAAGTGGCTTTTTCAGATCCATGCTAGAACTTCTTGCACATGCTATATAGCTATGTTTATGTTCTACATCTGAACCAGCTAAGACTCGGCTTCTGGTTAATGGCATTTGAAATCTGCTTAGACACACATGTAACCGTTTATGGAGGGTCTTTTTAGAACAGTTTTCAATAATCAGTATGAATGAAATACTGATCATGGATATTATTCCCAAGGGAGGATAATTAAAAAAAATAAATGAAAACAAAACAATGCAGACCTTTGGGTTGTGCCCATTCTTGTTTCCTTTGCTTATTATATAATTCAAACGACTATAGCTGGAGAGATCGCATCAGTTGCATTATTCCCTTTTTTGGTAATTCGGGCCCTAAATATATTCTGGGCTGCACCCTGAAAACAAAGGAAGGGAATGTTTTTCATGAATTCCACATGCAATGGATGTATTATATGGATGATATATAAGCAAAACCAAGAAAAGACTAAATTAAAATGGGTTTGGTGAGAAAATAGTAACATTTGCCAATTCCATAATAGAGGTTCAATTGTTCTTGGTATTTTGAACACTAATTGACAGCAACAATAGTACGTAATGCAATGTCTGGCATATTTCCATAATATTTCTTGAAGTACAGATAGACTCACCAGTTGTATGCCACAATTACATGCTTCTGCCCTGTGCTTACAAGGCTTTCAAAGAAGGACTGAGGTTGAATCAAAGCACATACACTGTGTGCAACAGACAAGGTATTAAACTAGTAGGGATATTACATCTAAGCCATGTAAGAGTTTGCTTTTGGTCAATTATAAACTGATCCATACTTCTGCTTGTGACACAAGACTGCTGCTATTTTCAATAGACTGAGACTTAGACCTATAATTGCACAATCTTAATTACATTTTTCTATAATTAACTTTACTAGAACAATAGTTCCTCCTAAGAATAATATCTGGGGTTTTATGTGAAAAACGGTTTTGTCTGAATAAATTCATTCATGTGAACATATTTCAAAGTGCAGCTTTCTCTCCACCCTTTCCTTAAAACCAAGCAAAAAAGAGAAACTCATTTATAAATATGCAACAGTAATTATGTTATACAGTCTTTAAGAGTCTAAAATAAAGAATGACACTGAAAAAAGGGAAAAAATTTTACTGCCCCATTAAAACAGATACAAAGAGAGACAGAAGAGATTGTAACTTAAAAAATAAAATGTTTTTTTGTTTAGCACAATACCAGAAGCTTTGCTATAAGACGTATTGCTATAGATGTCCAGTACAAGACCCTGACGACAAGGCCCATTAAAATGAACAGAAGTCATTCTAGTGGCATTACTGGACTTTGGTTCAGCCTTGTAAGCACATATACCTATATATATATATATACACCCCATTTTCTACCTGTAGGTATGACACATTGGCTCTTGTACACATAAGCACATTTATATATGTATATCTACACATTCACAGGCTATAAGGCATTACTTCCAACACTTCATACAGTGTAATACGAACAGCTCTCACTGACAGCATGCAATCAAACCACTGCCTGTAAACACCCTCAGGGACTCAGATCGGTCTCTGAGATGTGACTGGCATGGAGATGGTTTGTTTTCTTTAGCCTCCTCATTTCAGGCAGGTTTTTCTACTCCTTCAAGTAGCATACTGATTAAATAACTGATACTAGCTGTCTTTGACTCAAACTCTGCAAATATCAGATCCTGTTGCAAATCATAAGGTCTGGTGCTTGTGGAAGGCAGCAAAAGCTTTCTTCTCAATGTGGGATGGGAAGAGGAGCCCTTTTACAGTCCAGACAAAAACTACTCAGGTAAATTAGCCTCTTTTCTATCAAATGTAAACATACAAAATCTGATTAAACTGCTGCTGGATAAACTTCAGAACGGTCAAACAATTAGGGAGATAAACCAATTTGATTTGTGCATCCCTATAGGGAAAGATGGAGGTGAAAAGGGAGAAGAAAGGAAATAGTTAAGTTCTGCAGGGGACAAGGGAACTTTTCATTTGGGCTGGAAATCTAGTGAGAATATAAACAATATAAAACTAGCAGATATTTGGAAGATGAAAAGCCATCTGATTTTGGGGAAACCTCTTCCTAAGTTAGAAGAATTCCACATGAAGTACAATTAGTGAATCATTTTTTATATTTGTTCAGAGATAAGATGCATACTTATATTCTAGCTGAAGAGATTACTTCATTGCTGCAACACAAAATAACTTGCAAAGAGATTTTGTTACATTATTCAAAGACTCAATTTTCATAAAAACCATCATCAGTAAAACACTGTAATAAAATAAGATCAAATAACTGTTTTATTTTCATGCTTAACACTGATATCTAAAAAAAAATAATTTCCATAGATATCAATTGAAGACCTTTGGTATCATATTTGTGATATGCACAGACTGCTGTGACTCTCTGTCACACCACCACCTGTTGATGCACTCACAGGACTCCATCAGGGAGAGGTCTATTTGTTAGAGTCAATATTAGGAAGATCTAATTCTACAGACATCCCTAGCACACAAAATTTGGATGAAGTGCTTGCGTGGACTGAGGCCAGAAGGGGTAACAGTCTGGTCCAAATATCAACCTCTTGCAGACCTGCAAATTTAAAATATAGGCCACTACAAGATGATGCTTGTCATATCACACACTGATTTCCTAGAGAAGAGAAAATACAACCAGCCACAAGACAGCTTTGACATTTGTTACCTCACTTCTTAACCTAGGAAGGGGCTGCATCACTCTCCAGAGCCTATGCTACAAGATGCTGCTATTGAAGAGGGAAGGCTCAGCCTGCCCCTTTCAGGAAGGGTTGCATTTGGAATCACATTTTTGTAATGAATTACACACACATTATCATATATACTTACTGCAAGGATTACTAAACAAATTTTCCTTATAAGAAGCAAATAATAAAAGGAAAAAAGTATGAGACAAATTTGTACTTATTAAAGAGGTCACCAGACACACAAACCTTTTGCGGCTTTGCTTTCTCCCTTCACAGGTAAGCTCTGTTCGTGGTCTGTCTTTCCTAATTACTGATGCCAACTTTGTTCAGTAGATGAGCTACAAAACATTTAGTGAACCAAGTCCCTCTCTCACACTGTCCCCCAGACTGGGCAGTCTCACTGCAGGCTGGAAAGCACAGTAAGGGAGGCACAGGTGGAATGCGCGCATGCCTGCATATGTGCCCACAAGACACACATGTAACAGCACTTATACTTGGCCAGAATTTGTGACTGTCATCTCCCAGGAGCTCAGAGTGGATAGCGACCTTCCTTCTCTGGAGAAAATTAAACACGTAGGTGACTTAGATCTGCACTCCATAAAGCCAGTTCTGACACAGAAAACATACAGCTGCCTTCTCGCTGTGTAACTGTTCACTTTGCTGCACTCAGCTGTGACTCACGTGTCCAAATGAAACTGTATTATACCATTCCAGATATCACTCCTAGTTTTACATATAACATGTCTGCAGTGATTCTGAAAAGTCCTCAGAAATCTGTAGGGTTATCCAATTGCAAAAGACTTCAAAGGCAGTTAGCTGTAGGTGCTCAGGAGCACTTCTGAAATTCAGACCTTATGTACAGCTAGAGCTCACATTCAATATTCTAATAAGATGAAGTGAAAAAGGAAAGACATTGGATTCTTTGTGCTCTTTCAAAGAAACTTTTACAAGTTATTGCTATTTAGTCTCTACAACAAACACACTTCGCAATGTACATTGATATATTTAAAAAAAAAATCTGAATTATTTTATTTGCCTAGTGCTGATGCAAGAAAAAAATGCTATGCAAAAGTTACTAAAACATCATATCACTGCTAGAAAAAAAACATCCATTATAAAGAGTAACATTGCCAACGACATTGTTCTAATCACTCCCTACTACAGCCTTTGAAAGGCTTAAAAAGAGCAGCCAGCCAAATGAGAATGTATTACCTTCAAAGGGCCAGTACACTGAAAACATTCCTCTGCTTTCAATACTATAAATCCTGGATCCACAGTACACTATAACAAGTTGGAAGGACTGTAATGGCAAAGCATATTAACCACATAACAGCAGCCACTCACAAACTGTCTCACTTCAGTTACATAATTACTTACCCGTGACAAGGTATTGTGTCCTGGTCTGTGATCCTTGACTCTTCTAGCTGTTGATATGCTGGTCCTGTAATCCCATTGAACCTACCCCGAGGTAAGGGAGGAGTCCTCCGAAAGGCATTTCTATGCAGCATCCCGCTTTTTTGTCCTGGGCTGCAGCATGAAGAGAGACTTCTAGGAACAACACCAAGAACACAGTAGAAATTATCACAGCAAAAGCATAAACTTTTGCAAAGTAAAGATTCAGGATTAATAATGCGTGGATTACTGTTTCTATAACTTTGCTGTGGCAGTCTATGACGTCAGTAGAAATTCTCTATGGAAATGTAATACTATAATCCATAGTTAGCTGCTGTTTATGCCATGTTTAATACATCACCTCTTTTGTAGGAATGAAAATAAGTGCCTGGTATATGAAACGTTTCCTCATACTTGATGAAGGATGCTTCTTTTTCTCCATGATGCGTACCCATAATCCTGCTATATAGAGTTGACTCGGACAGTATAAACAAACAGTACAGAACCATCATACCTACAGCTGAGCTCAAAATCAGATCTTAAATTGAGAACCCATTATATCATCTATCAGTCTACAAGGTGCTTGCTTCCTGATACAATATCATTAAACTGTGAAAAAAATGTAAGTGAAGAATCTAAGTGAAGCTTATGAAATGCAGCTTGAAAAAAACATATCTGACAAGTTTTCTTCACGTTGAACAAGATTTCTATATTGTTTTTTTCGTGTTTTATATGCTTTATATGTTTTCTTCTTTGGATACACTGATAAACACTGTGTTGTTTCTGAGATATAATACAAACTTGAATATGACAGAAACAAGTAATAGTTTTCTTATTTTAGAAAATTGCTTTTGTAAACATTTTTGTAGTGTTTTGGAAGGAGAATGGATTTTTTTCCACTACATGCAGGTATTAAAAGTTATCTAGAATCCATACTGTTGGCAAATTAACTACAAATTCAGCTAATGCAAAAATAAGGGAACACAGAATTAAGGCAAGACATAACCTGTTCCTACTGCTGACAGGTCACAGGCCTGCATGGCGTGACTAGCTATTAATTTTCCAGTTACTCCTATTTCTCTTTGACATCTTCTGGATCTCAGAAATGCAAATGTATCGCCTTATTTTCTGTTACATCTTTAATGATATTTTACTATAGGTTTTGTAGATCAATTTAAGAGTCATTATTTTTGGTTATGTTAATAATTTCAACTGACAAAATTCAGCTATGCAAAAGACTTTGGATAAATTTGCTTCTCTTTTCCTATTATAACTTGACTTAAAAGCAATCTGCATTTCATACCTAATGGAAACTTTATTTACAGTTAGAGCCACATCTACTCCCAAAGCAATTGCTGCTTGGATCAAGTATCTTGTACAAATTCTCGTGGACTGTACACTTCCATTAAAACCAATCTCTTTCCCCAAAGTCAAAGCATAAGAAATAAATTCCTATCCTACTACTCAGGCTACCAGTGTTCCATTGCAATCTCCACTCTGTTCTCCCCCATGCTTTTATTTTCCTGGTGCTTTTTAATTGAAAAGATCAACAAACCATGGCAATAATACTCCACCAAGAATTTTTGATGCTACCTTAAATAGATTTTTCTTTAGCTATTAAGAAGGCTGTGAAAAGAATTCTTTAAAAAACAGAAGCCCTGGCCTTTCAATTCTAAAGGCTAAATTTGAGTTGTGAGTTACAGTTCACATTCTGTAAAATAACACCACCACATCACAAAAGAATTGAAAATTTCTGCTCAGGAGAGCCTGAGATTATTACAAGATGCAGCTGAATGAGTAATTTTTGTTGGATAATGAATTTCAGGTTTTTTTTATTGATTGCAGTATATTCATCAATGAACTACAAAGGTCAGCAAACTGATTAACTTAAGAGACTTTAGACTGATTACAAATATTTGAAAGTAGAAAGGCATTGTCTGATTGTGGTTGGTTTTATGCCCTTGCGCATCTTCCTTGCTGGATGAGAGCACGGGGTCTTCCGTCTAATAACATGCATATGCAAATTCGCAAAAGTTTTGCATTTGTTATGGACATAATTTCAACACATAAAGGTAGACATGAGATAACTGTTATAAACTGCAGCAAAGATGCATATGAGTGACTTATCTGTACTTCTTTCAGCTTGTACTGAAACTCCTTGCTACACAGAACACTAGACTACAGGCTGCTAAAGGGCTGGTTAGACTGAAGGGATCTGGCACATGCCAGTATCTCCTTGCAATCACAGCAGCTGCACCACCAACAGAGCTTAAGCGACCAATTTGTTGCTAATGTGAGGCTCTCATGCTTTCAACATTTCTGCCAGAAAAAGATGGAGTGAAAAAAATGAACAAAAATAATGCGTGGTCACAGGCAAGACAAATTCATTAAGAACCAGGAAATATCTACATACAGCGCAGCTGCAAGTTAACACTCATTTCTTGAAGCACCAAAGACAAGATAGTAACTTTTTTTAAAACAAAGTTCTATGAAAAAGTAACTGTAGCACAATAAAGTTTTTTCCTTTTTCACAAAACTTCTATGAACGCCAGCATACTCTTCCTCCAAGACTGTTAATACAGTCCCTCTCAGACTTCTGCTCTACTGCTCACATAAAGTGTTCCTCTCTCTGAGGCAAACAATGCTTTTCAGACTTCTTCAGGGAATTCATCCTCCTTCAGCCACCATTATGGTTTCTTCCTCCCTGTACTCCAGTCTAACTAGGCAAAAATACCCAGCCCACATAAGTGAGCTGTTCAATAAAACGGACCAATAAGCAAAGCTGCAGCAGATACGTCTTTAAAATCTCTTAATCAATTACTCCAGAATAACAAAAATCAGAATCTGCTTGAACTGGTCCACAAGTAATGCATATACTAGTGAGAAATATAGTTCTGATGAATTAATGGTTTGAAAGAAGTAGTTCAACCATCTCTAAAGCGAATTAAGAACTTGGGATTCACAGTTGCAAATTGTTTTGTGTGAAAGTTTTCCTTAGGTTGAGCAACCAAGTCAAAACAAATTTTGTCTCAGCAGGTTCAGTATTCTCTTCACAAGGCATATAAACAACTCCCAAGTGCAGTTAACAACATTAATGAAGAGAAGACTTGCAGTCAGTTTACAGTAACTCTGAGAATCCTCCCATACTACTTTTTAGCCAATTATTAAACCAAAGTGATTATACATCACATTATGAACACATTCAGAAATAATTTTGTCAACAGAACTTGAAAAGCATTAACAAGAGGATGACAAAATGTTAAAACTTTGCATGGGATCCGAATCCTTTCCTTCTTGTTTAATAAGCACAAAAGAGCTACAGAAATGGTTCTTATAACCATGCTTGTCTGCATAGCTATTTTACTTATTCTTTCCCCTTTTTTCATTACTATAATTCATGAAAAGAGAGATGTAAAGTTGAAGAAGGAAGTTATAAAACTGATTGTAAATACTCTGAATCTGTAACTGCAAAAACTATACAGAGGCATATTATGTTACATACTCTTATCACCTACTGATCACAAGATGCAAATAGTGTTGAAGACATGGGTTTTGTCTTTGCAGGACAGAAACAGTAAATACATAACCCAGTGACAGATCTGGCTGCCAGACGGTGTCTTCTGATGTTCCTTAGGAGCCACATTTTTAGGCTAAGTTAGGTAATCTACTGCCAACATTTGTAGAGATCAACTATTCAGACTTTCAAGCAATTTTCAGTTTTAATAAAAAGGCTATGTTATACCTGAGAACATAAGCATCACTCAACAAATAATAAATCACTCAACAAACAATAATAATAAAACTCTATCAGAAAGTCCTTTTGTCAGACTTCTTACAGGAACAAGATGACCACAGTGAATGCATCTCTATTAAAACCTGTTACAGATGTCTCCACAAGGGGAGAAAGTTAACATAACGTTTGGGACTTCAGCAAAACTGTATGTGATTAAAAGAATACTAAGGTTGTAAGGAGATTATTATGACAAAAAGAAAGCTGTGGCATATGAAAACTGAACTTCATAGTTTTAACCCTTTTTTATCCATAGCATCCTGTATCCAAAACACCACTCTTTTCCACGTCTTTGTAAAGTAATCATGTACACTCTCAAGACATGATTACTGTCTAGGAAAATGTCTCATCTACAATGGCACAATGACCTGTGCTTCCATGCTTGTGTTTATGAACCATTACAGCTGGTCAGGTTCTCAGCTCAGGTAAGGGGGTTGGACTGTATCCTGCAGTTTGCAAGACTCTCTTCTCCCTTCACATAAATAGAAGCTTTCTAGCAGCCAGCCTACACCTACATATATCCTCTTGATTTCTGAAATGGGAGCACTGTTGCTCCTTTATTTATTCTGGTATTCAGGAATGGAATGTGCCAGAGCTGACTGGGGACTTTGCAACTCTACATAAACCTTTCAACACTACCTGTATCATCCGGTCACCATCCGAGTTCCACCAGATAGATACATACTATAGGAAAAGGGAAGAGAGTGTTCAAAGGTACTTCAGTGGCACTGAGTTTAATCACCTGCCATAACTTCATCATATACTCCCTGTATTGATCAACCTCCATCCTAAAACTAAAATAATATACAGAAAGTTGTTCTATATTGAAAACTTTGAGGCTTCCATTCAGTTTAAAATTATTTATGATGAGTATACATCTATTTGACATATGTGCTGCCATTTTAAATAGGTTTTCATTTTAAATAGGTCTTTTACTTCTCATTGTGCTTCCTCTGATATATTTATAACCACCAGTCATATAGTCTTTTCAGTTTTCTGAAGACTGAGACAGATTCTCTAACATTTTCTTATGGAACACAGATTATTCATTCCTCATATTGCAATTTAAGTTCATAGTAATCAGGAGGTCATTTTAACCAGGTGAGATAATAGTGCTGTATTCTCATGCTATATTCAAATTAAGTGACAACAGTGTCTTATGAAGTGGTTTTAATGTTTCTGACTTTCTGATGAAAATGTCTTGATTAATAATTCCTCTCATCCCATTTATCTTTTGCTCAGCTGCATCACTTTGATTATTCTTTTGATGAACTAGTACATACTGAAACTTCTTCTTCCTCATTCATTGCTTAGATTTTATTACCAGTTCCAAAATGCCTGACCATCTCTGTTATGGAATCCATCT